CCCCGGGGAAGCTGCCGTGCTCACCTCGCCCCCCGAAACGCGGTTTGCAACGCGGGGCGTTGCGTGGGTGTTAGACCTAGGGCACAGCCGATAGTTTTAAACGTAGCCGTTAGTGAATTCAAGCTGTCCAGCTAAAATTCGCTGTGCCTTATGCTCTCCCTTAGCAGCTTGCCTCTTTTTTTTTTTTATTTTTTTCTCCCTTTTTGCTGACAATCAAGCAAAGGGAAAAGAACTGATGAGTTCCAGACTTTCGAATAAACACGATGGCACAGTGGAGAACTAATGGCGCGGGAATAACGTTTCGCTTTAAGATGAGAGCTAATGGGGTTAAGGGTTAGTTAATTAAGAAACGGAAATGGGGGGAGTGGGAGGAGGAGGGGGCAAGGGAGGAGAATTCATTTCAGAACATATGTGCGTGACCTACAGACTCCCAAAGACATTAAACCTTGAGAGTAGCCTAAATTCCCTCTTCAGAAATTCATTTTCTTTTAAGAAACTGTTGGTACTCAGGGCTCCCCTGTAAAGTGACTTCTCGTTGGCGTGCTTGTGGCCTCTTCCAGACCTTTATTATGAGATCATTTAAATTCAAGTGCACTGAACTGCTTATGTGTTTTCTCCACCTATAAATTTTTGAATTTATTTCCATTATAAAAAGCAGCTTGACACAACGATAATCCCTATTGCTGACCAAAAAGTTGGTGTTCTTTCTCCTTCCTTTCCTCTTCTGTATCAGGCAAACTGAACAGCTTCCCAGCTTAGCATCTATTTTCACCATCTACTTTGACTGAAACAAACCATAAAGCAGTTCAGCAATCTTGGCCCTTCCTCATGCAAAGCAGCATCAAAAGCACAGACTGTTTCTCCTGCAAATGGCCAGCTACTTTCCACTTTCTGATTGCCCTGAAAATCTCCAGTCCTGCTGGACGCTCTGCCCCGCGATGTGTTTTGGTGCTCAGCATACACCAGATTATTAATCCCCCACAGCTGCTTCTCACAGCTGAGGTCCATGTCTCCCCTGTAGTCTACCTGGTCATTTTCTGCAGTTCTCCAACTTCTCTTTCCTGCTTCTATTTCCTTTTTTCCCCCGATTTCTGGAAGACAGCAGAGAGCATTTAGTCTTTGAACACCGCGATACTTCTTGTCATGTTGCTCTGGCTTCAGAATTCACAACTCTGAACAAAGTCTGGCCTACAGGTATTACAATTGTCATGCTAATTGCACTCGTAACCCCTCCTGGTCTCTCATCTGAGCCAATGCCTGTGTCCTGCCTTTACTTGTTTCTCAGTGTACTGGGACAAGAGATGTTTTTTTACCTACAAATTAGGTGCTGGGTTACAATTACTTGTTTGTCCCCTGGCTCAGACGTGCATTACGTACTTCCGCTCCTTCCCTTACTCTTCCCTAGACATCTGCAGATGGCCACAATCAGAGCCAGCTGCAAGATTGGCAGGAGATTTGGCCTGACACCCTACAGAATTTTCATACAACAAATGCAACACTCTGCAGAACTCTATTACCAATGACAGATAAAACAGCTTTCTCAAAGTATACAATTCATTACCATGCCAGAAGTATTCTCAGTGCTGCACAATTAAAATAGTCCATACGAATGCCTACTTTTCTCTAAATACTCCTGTCACTTTCAGATTAAGCGTTTATGACCATGTACTGATCTTCCTATCCCTGTCAGGAGGCTTCCCAGGTTGCTTTGTAGTACCTGAGGCTGCCTTATGTCTCTGACAAGCAATTCCAATCCCTTCAGTTCCTTCAATAATAAAACTTGCATTCTCAGGAACCCTTGATGTGAGCTGTCTGCCCTACTGTCCTCCATACCAGCTTACCTACCCTCGGTTACTCCTTGCTTTCCTGATTGCTTTTTCACAGCGGCCCGTATGAGATAGATTTGTTCAGGAAATTCTAAAGAGCTGCTAGTTATTTAGCCTGATAAATGAGCTTTCTTTGATTGACCAAATGCCTAGCAATACCTACACAGTTTTTACAGCTGTCACAGGTATTCTTGGGTTACCACCTAGCAGCTTCTTGTCTGTCAGTCATAGAAACAGGTCTCTACGAGAGAAAAATGACCTTCCAAGGGCTTGTAGAGTCCTCCAGGGTGGGTTACAAGGCTTTTGCATAACAGAAAGTTACAGTTCTGAGCAAATTACAGGCAAATATAATAATCACCCTGCCATGCACTTTCATTAGGATTGAGAAGGTTGTTACAAAACAAATCCTGCATCATCTGGTGACCCCAAGTTTCTTAAAGACTCGCTTGGTTGAAACTTGTAGGCGTAGCTGCCCATCAACAGCATTTGTCACTTTCATTGAGTATCTCCGCTGGCTGCAGCTGGAGACCACGGCTGGCCGTGGGACAAGAGGAACTAACTCTCTTTGATGGGGACTAAAGAAAAATTTGACTTGCAGGAAGTAAATTTCCCTAATATTTTAGGCATCTCTTTAATCTCTTCTTGCAGGTAGACGGGCTTGAGACCGAGGCCTAGCCTTAACTGTTGATGTTCTAGTTTTCGTGAGTGAATAGCTTGATGTCTCATATCACAGACCATGGAGAGAATCGTTAGCCCTTCAGTTTGTTTCACAACTGCTAGCGACAATGACAACAGCGGGAACAAAAGGATGAAGTCAAGATAACAATGAGATAAAAATGTTCCCTAGAAATATAGATTAATTTATAACTTTAAATTCCGTATATTGTAACATATCTATATGTGTAATTTGCACTATGAAATAATCAGCAAGAAAAACCTGTGGAGAAAGCACACTTTGACCGAGGAATGGAACGAACATTGACTCTCTACAGATATTCAGGCTTTTTACAGAGTCCTCTCTTTGTCTGTGTCATCTCTCTGGGTCTGTCAAAGCTGGACAAACTGTTCTCAGTGAAAAATGAGTTACAAACCATAACAGCTTTCTTGCTCATGAGTAATATGTAGATCAAACACAATTATGTGTTTGCAGAGTTGAGCATTTTTCGTGTTGTTAAACGAGTATTTCATTACCACATTTCAACTACAGTTTCTCAGAGTTCTTCCTGCTGCTTTAAGGAACATTTGCTGTTCCCTCCTTCCATTCAGTGAACAGTAATATAAATTGCCTCTGGTTAACTCTGGTTTGATCTGTTCCACCCTCATTCAGGCTGGCTTCTCAGACAGTGTATATCATAATAATTCTGTAACACATATGGATACCTAAGTTTACAATGCTTTCATCTTTCTTTGAATGTTTGTTTTATGAAGCAGCATCAAAACCTAGAAGTCTGTGAAAACTGTTGGGACATGTTTTGAATCTTAAAAGAAAAAATACATGGTTTTTGCTAAAATTATTACTAGCAGGCATATATTTATTATGTAAACCCCTTCCGTTTCTCAGCTTCTATAAAGGTATATGTTTCATGCAATCTTCTTGACATTTCTCTGTATCATTTCTTGGACCTAAACCTTTTTTTTCTGTGCATATGCATCAAACTTCTCTCCTTCCTTTTCCCTAACCAGCCTCTAGGACATACCTACTGCAGAAGTTTCACAACCAAGCGTTTGTCAGCACTCAAGTTTGGTCTCTCAATTAGCTTGGCATTTCAGTGATTGGTCTCCAAAACTTCTGCAAACCATCTCCTACCCAAAATTCCTGTCCAGTTCTCACAGTAAAACCCTGTTTCCCCTCCCATCCTATTCCCTCCCTACCTCTGCTTCAGGCTACCACAGTCTCTTGTTCTCATGTCTGTGAAAATGAAGGTACTCCAGACGGAAGGGGCAAAAAGTTTTGCACAGTGCACTCTCTTTATGAACAAATTTTGCATCATGCCATCTATTCCAAGTTTTGGAGCACTTTATTTAAAACAGCTTTAAAAATCACTGTCAAGTCGCATTCTTTTCGCAACATTTTAGCCCAGGGAGACCGAGCATCCCCTGGTGAGACACTTCGCATTCTTCAACAAAATGTTCTCCAAGCTCAAGTATCTGGCAAGCCTGAGGGAAGCATCATTAAGGACACTGACAAATTTTAAATAAGAAATAAGCAAAATAAAATAAAATGCAGACAGAAAGACACGACACTTAAAAACACCAGCTCAGCTGAAATCTGGCCAGTACAATCCAGAGGGCTTCAGTGCCAGCTGCAACTGCAATGAAGAGAGTAATAATATCAGGGGACATGTCAAGGCTAAGGAATGACATATGGAAACTATGAACTAATCGAGGGACTGGGAGAGCACTGAGGATCCACCCACCCACTAATGGCAATTATTGATGGGAAACATGCTTAGTCACTTGTGCACGATTTAGTGATCAGAATGCCAGCATGATGCTTCCTCCTAGGCTTAGACAAAGGCTGTTGGTTTCGCTTCTCCCTCTTTCCTTTCGGAAAGAAACCAGTCCTCCCGATTCCTTCTACACCTGCCTGCCCCAGCTCAACTCACACGTGTCTATGCATCTACACAGGCACTGAGGCATAAAGTAGGTGATGACATGTAGCAGCTAGCTTCCACTGAAAGTGGATTTACCAGTCCACAAACGGGGCAGAAAATTACTGAGGCAGAAGAAGCTAACAGTTTGACATCAGCTTAGGGACCTGCACTGGCTGATGTGGGATCCGAGCAGCTCCAGAGCCAGTGTGAGGGAGGAGGTGGGATCCTCTGGTCCCGCCAGAAAGGTGGAAGAAGAATCAGGACGTACTGTGGAAGTTCCTCCAGCCTGTGGCGCCTTGGTGGCTGGAGATCTCAATATAAGTGAAGTATCCTGGGAAAGACACCCTTTCATGGAAGGAAGTTTCTTACTTTGTGCTGTGGTGGTTCTGTAGAAGCAGTCCTGAGACATGGGACAGGTCTTAGCATGAGATAAGGGCTGTGCCAGAAGCAGGTCTCTCAGGAAGCTGATGTACCCCCAGAGCCGCAGATTGGTGACAGAAGAATTTGAAGTCTTGGGAACAGAAGGTTGTGGTGAATGAAAATGTTGAACAGCTTGAATTGGAGAGTCTGACTGGCATTCCTCGATGCAATTACAGATTGAAAAATATAGTAGCTACCATCTTACCGACTCCTGAAGAGGCTGTTCATGCTGCATTAAGCAGCAGCTTGTGAGTCCTCCAAAAGATGATCCCAGGAGGGCTGTTCCTCCTCCTCCCTTGTCCCCTCTGTTACAAAAAGTGAAATTTAATGATTGTTGTTGCTGGGAGACTGCTCAGATTTTTAATTACCTTTGAGTTCTGACAGCACCCGAATTAAGGGTTTCCCCTTAGTTAAATGAAGGGCCTCTGACACCCTGGCACGGGTCTAGCGTTCAACAACCTGAGCAGCACTGCGAATCACACCCCGGCTCTCAGAGGTGCTGCTCCACTCCAGGCAGCCCCTTACACACCATTACCCCCCTGCTTCATGTCGCTTTGTCCTTACAGCTCTGCTTCTGCACCATACGCCTGTGGCTTTCACCAGAACTGCATCTTCTGCCACGGTACTCTACAGCACTGTTCTGCGAAAGCGGAGGCTTGCTTTCAGCAGGCATTGTAACACCAGTTCACGTTTGCAAAAGAGTTTATGTTCAGATTGTACCCACGTGCTTTCACCAGCAGGAAGAAATGTGCGCAGAGGGGACAGCCAGGGTCCGTTGCTGCCCTGTAGGTGGTTGCCACAATGAGAAAAATTGTTGCGTTTTAAAAAAGAGTCTATTGTATCACAAATGATAACTCTGGAAGGGGACCTGTGTAATAGGTAAATGAAGATGAAAGTCAACTTCTAATGTAACTTGTGCCTTACAGAGAGAAAAGAGAAATGTCACTGAGCTGCCGGGCTTAGACTCGAACAGGGTCAGTCAAGAAATGATAGACAAAGCCCTCGGGAAACACATTACACCTATCACCCTGAAATCCACAATCAAATGCAACCCCCTGTATAGTGACATCCAGGTAGACGACGACTGTGAGGAGAAGAAAAAGACCCCTTGCTGGACTGTGCAAGACTATGAGAGACACTCGCTGGGCTGTGACTGGGCCAGCCATATAAAGGTAATGCGCTGTCGTGCTGCGTTTGAGCAAAGTGAGTTGCAGTGAGCTCTGTGTGCGTGCATGCATGCAGCCCGCTTGGTTCTTCTGGTGGGATTCGAGAAGTAAATGTGAAACGCGTTTTCTGGTACAGACACAATACTCCCATGAGTCTGATCAGCAAAAGAAGTCTGCCTGTCTGGTTGGACTCCAAGAGCTTCAGTTCTGCAGAACACAACCACTGAGGCTAGGGAAAGTCTTCAGCTGCAGCACCTCGCGACTCAGTTTCCCCATTTATGTTGGGAAGAACTATAAACGAGGCAACTAAATACTATATACCTGCTTTAATAACTTTTCATAAGATCATTATGTTATCAAATAACATACATTTCCTCAGCCTCATCCAGACCACACAGGATCCTGCCTGCCTGCGGGTTGGCAGAAATCACTTTTAGGGTCACTTTTGTGAGTTTTTTTCTGCTGTTTCCTGTTGTGGAAAGGGACTCAGATCTGTGTTTGCAAGTGGACATCTCTTCTTGAGAAGACAACACTGTTTCTTCGGTTTTTTAAACACAGTTCAACGGCTGGTGTCCTACATTTGGTTCCTGGCTGAAAAGTGTGGTTTTAATTTTCCCCAGTGGAACATTTGCAGCATCTGGCAAGTAGAGCAACCTATGTTCAAGTGAAAGTCTCTTGCATTTGTGTTGTGATGCCTTAAATTCATTAATCACTATCTGATGATAGCCAAAATACTTCTGGCTGTGTTCTAACGACTTTATGTGTAAGAGAGAGGAACTGAGTTCATTTTCTGACTTTTCTTTTAGGAAAATCCTAATGATCTACAGTTCTGGATGGGGGATATTTATACTCCTGGGTATGATACCTTGTTAAAAAAGAAAGAGAGAGAAAAAAAGCATTCCAAATGTTGCCGAATCATCCTGTTCATGGTACTAGCTGTTTGCATCCTGATTACCATAGTCACGCTCAGCATTTTACTTACTTAGTACAGCCAAATGATGGTGATGGGATTTTTTTCAATAAATTTTTTTATTAAGCTATTCCCCTCCCTTGTTTTATTTGAATTCCAATTTTTTGTCACAAATAAAATTTGTTTGACATCATTATTTCACTATGTTCCTGTGCAGCATAAGGAATTGATCCTGAAAAGATACAACTGCTCTGAGCATGGCAGAGTGTCTCCTTATGGGCATAATTAAAAAAGAAAATCATAAATATTTTACTTCTCTTCATGCCTTCTTCTTTTGGCCAATGATTTGTGTCCGTGTGTGTGGTGTGGTACACACAGCATGTACAGACAATATTCTGACTCTTTGTTCTGGTAAATACCTAACACCCTGTTCATCTTTTTATGACAGCTATTACTGGAATATAGAAAAGTGTGATAAAGCAGCATTCAAGGTATCCCAAAGAATTTTAAATCAAAAATTTACGCATTACTTAGTGGCTGAATCCATTGCTGCAATGATGCAGCACTTAGTAAAAAGCTAGCCTAAATGCACAAATGTTTCCTTATACTTTTTTCAGAGCAGAAAAACAGACTGCTGAGCTTCCACCAAAAGAATTCCCTGAGACCTGAGATAGGGTTTCTTCATCCCTGTGTGATGTTCTTTGAACATGTAGCATCTCTGTCACCCCAACAGATGGAGTGTCGATATTTTTTTTAATCTGGCACATCAAAAATTAGAGCAAAATTGGTAGAGTATTAGAGTATAAATGGGAATTAGAATACACCTTAAAAAGATTAAAGGTGGTGTATAGCCATGCTATCAAAAAGGATCTTTGTAAATGAGAGGACCAAAATTAAATGTTAAGAGCACTCAGAAAATTAAGTTCATACACCTCAGAATAATCCAGAATGAAAACATGAGGTAAAATGACAAAAAGTCAGTGAAGAGAGAGAAAAGAAATTAAACTATTTCATTCCGTTCTAAGAAAAATACTCCGAATATTGGAAACACTTTATACTTCTGCATTAGGGTAAGGGGCTACGAACGCTATTTAGACAGGGATCTTCCTCATTCACACAAGGGAATGTCGCAGATTCACAAAAGCTGGAAAGTTGCTGCTTACAGCAGCTTTGCAGTGCTTTGACGTGGGTCAAGGCGGACTCATCTTCCAGGACAGTGTGACCATAAGACAACTGCGCTTGATTCTCTCCTTCCTTCCTGACCTCGTCCGTGTTCGAATCTCCTTGGTGCCATTACTACTCGGACCCTAGTCTGGCTTGCACCGTCAGTGCTTCGCAGTCCCAAACTAAAACAGCTCACCGCTTTCATCTGGTGGGCAGCCAGCAGCAAACTGTAGCAGCACTTTAATGGATTGGCGTAAGAATTAGCGTCCCTCTTACAAAACCGGATGTTGCTGTCGGTGTACAGCAGAATGCGGTCTCCGGGCTTGCTGCCGTGTCGGTGGGGACGGGTGTTCTCATCTGAAAGATCAGGCCCGTTCAGCTCATGAAAGTAAGAGCTTGGGAGCATTTTACAAGACCAGTGGCTGACATTACGAAGTAATTATTCACATTAAAGCGACAATACTTGACCGTTTTTATTTCCAGCCCAAGCGCATTTGCTGTAAGGACACTGCATGCAACGCAGAGATGCGCTTTGCAATTACTGAGGCCTGCAGTCGGGAAGCCTGAAAGCAAAGGGCTCTGCAATTTCCAGGAAAGCCGCCAGCAATGCGAGTTTCTTCACTGCGTTGCCCTCCGAGGGTTCA